CACAATACTGTTCAAGGTGTCCACCTGTCAGGGACAACCTCTTCTCTTTCCGACAATAGGTGGCCGTCTTGAACGATTTCTACTGTATTTCTTAATGAAGGTTTCCAACTCAAAATAGGAGCCGAAGAACCAGTTCAAAAGACTAGCCAGTGAACCGGAACACAAACTCAAGAAACAGTCATCCAAATTTGACAACCTATACAGATAACCAGATATCTGGTCGGATCTTGCACATTGAAGCTTTGTTGTTGTGTTGTTTCCAGATTTGAAAAGCAATCACGGATAACCGGATATCTGGCCAGAACTTGCACACGTCAGCCTTGTTGTGTAGTGGTGTGGTAACGTCGACGACGATTCACGTCTGTCCATTTGGGGCAGACGACGAGCGGATATGGATTCCGGTCTCTCCGGGCAGCGTGAAGCAGAATCTATTCCTTGCTGGTGGAGGAGGGTGAGGTGGAGGGGAGTGATGGTGGTGTTGGGAGGTATACTCATGCATCTCACACTGGGTACTCTCTATACTTTTGGTGAGTGATGTGAGTGATGATAGGAAGGACATACGTTGCATAACAAATGAATGGTAAAATTTGGCACTGCAATAAATAATATTATTTCATTACGCAAACAGATTTTTTTAAAAGTAGGTCAGTCACAATTACCACATAAAACTTGGACTTTACTGTAAATGCGTATATTATTCTCTTGTTTAGCAATCTATGGCTTTGTGTACAGTAAGACCCCTTTGGGCATGGATTCTATCAAATTTTAGACATAACTATCCGTCAGTCCATCACAAATGTCACAGAAAATTACAAACAAATTGTGTGATTTCTTAGCAGTCTTTCTTCAGCTGCTTTTTCGTGAGACTTCACATACCTGTAGGATTCATCGGGGCTATTTACTAGTGACCACTCCAACGTTGGTATGATTTGGTTTTCCAAAAATTGTCTAATGGCATTGGCCATGTGAGAGAGTGCTTTGCCATGCATCTAGATGTCTACTTGAATTGCATTATGACAAAAATAAGGGTAAGTTATGAAGTTCTAGCACTTGCGCGATGTAGTCCACTAAATCAAGCCATCATTTTATTCTCATGAGGGTGGTTTTATTCATTCCATACCAGATAACCCAAACCATGGCAGTTTCGAGGCCTCTTTTCCTCACTGACAGGTGATTATGTCCAAAATCTAACTAACAGTACTAACACAGTCCATGTGCGAAAAGATTTCGAGCTGTACAGGAAACCAATAACTATTAAACAAAATAATAATGAGCACATGCTAAGTCCAGGTTTAGCGTGGTATTTGTGACTGTTTGAAAATATCACCAGAAGATACTGGTTATCGCAGAGACAATAATATTCTCGATTCATTTGATATTCAGTACATGTCTGTTCACCAGTGTTGGTGCACCCCAGTAAAGGCGCAAACAGACTTTTGTGTTTCTTTGACTTTCCACAATTTTGCCAAGTCTGGTATTTAAAATCAGTTTTAAGTGATCATATCTCGGTCGATTCTTAATCTTGATGAAATATAAATGTTTCAGATGATGCAGAATCTATGTAGCTTTAAATTGATATTAATGCTACATGAGTGAGTATGTAAGGCTTTAATTTCAAGTTTGTTTTGGACGACAGTGTAGTAGCCTATACATTATTATTAATCAATTATTATATAACAATACATGTATAATATCTTATTGTTTCCAGACCGCCGTGCGTAAGGCTATCATCAAAGAGATTGTGACTGAACATTAGTTTTCAGGGCGATTTGATTGTATCTTTTTTTTTTAAACCACGGTCAGAGGAAAGTGAACAAGCCTTACAGCTTCATGCAAAGACACGAGAACGTTAAAAAGTGTTTAAACCGCTTGCAGACGAAAATTAACAAGTATAGCTCTAATAATGAAATAAAAATGACAACAAAAGCTGACAACTATAGACTATAAACAAAATTCTCGACAGGAAATCTCAGTCCATATCTGACGTCATTCATGCGGGAGTATGGCTCCGCCCCCTCGCTCACCCACACACAGTGTGCCTGGATCTTTGCCCTCGCCTCCATGGGTCAAGGGACGAGTGTGAGTGTGGGAGGTCTACTGGAGAGGAAGGTGGGACCCAAACTGAGCAGCCTGATTGGTGGATGGCTAATGAGGTAATGCTGAGGGAAGAGAAGAGAAGAGATGAGATGAAAAGAGAAGAGAACAGAAGAAGAGAAGAGATGAGAAGATCATTACTATCATTAAGTCACAGGTTTGAAGCAGATATTGGCGATCAAGGTTCTCCATTCATTTTTCCGATCAGATGCTCTCAAATATATCAACATGTGTTATCCTGGTGTTTCCCATGCACCCATTTCCAAAAAAGTAATTCTCTGTTTCTGCCCCTTCTTGGTTTGCCTCCTGTTTTAGAATCCCTTCTAGTCTTATCATTAGCCCAGCAGACCCGAGAAGGCGACCCAGAAACAGTCTCCGCTTCTCGGGAAGCATAATATAGAGCAAGCAGCAAATTAAACGCTCAAACATCAAACAGACAAGATATATCACTGTCTATAACGTATACCCATTGCCACCTGGGTAAGGTGAGAAAAACTCGTATAATTTCCTTTTTCACGGACACAACGTCGAGCACGTGATGGTACTCGCACCAATGACCCTTCCTTTTGGTCGCGAGTCCGAGAGCCTAACCACTAGACCACCGACGCTAATTTTCTTTTGTCACCTGTCCCCTTCTCTTGACTCCACAATATTCCTCTTTGTCAGAACACCGCTTCCATCTAGCCCCACTCCTTTCTCCCTTTCTACATGTTCCTCTCTTCCTTGTTCAATCAGTTAGCGGTGTGTGTGTGAGGTGTGCTGACAAAACGAGTTCCTTCTCAAATTTTGAGTCCAAATCTAAGGAGACAAATATGTCGAACTCATAGTTGAGTAAGTACAATTTGTAAGTAGGAAATGATTAAAGATATTAGGTTTAACTTGAAGATAATGGCATTAGTTGAAAGTCTACAAATTCGACCCCTGTGTCAATTTTCGGTTGATATCTCCATTCGCAGACTCAGAGAAGTAGCTCATTTTGTCAGCACGCCTCACATATACACATCTATCTATAATAATATTAATAATGATTTTAAAAATAAATAAATAAATATATAGCATTTTTAAACGGTACCTATCGTTTTATGCAAGAAAAATTCTGAAATTATGCAAACTGAGCCCAAAAAATGTGAAATTATGCGATTCTGTTAATTTTAACAAAAATTTTTAAAGGGAAATAATAAGAAATTATGCTAAAAAATGATCAAATTTTGCTAAAT